TGGCCACATCCAAAAACTGTCCAGGTAGCCTCCCTTCTCCTACAATGAACCTTTAGCCGATGGCCTACAATGAGAATACACCAAGAGCATGGACTTCCTTCCTACATGCCATCATGCCTGAGCTAGATTTGAGTCTCCATTGGATATGGTCCTTTGAGCCTTTGAACTGTGTGGAAAATAGCCCAGTACAGTATACTCCCTGCATTTGACTTCATGTTCGGGAGTTGTTAGCAACTGAAGTCTGCCTTTAAGAAGGTTATTAAGCACTGGAGAATGGATCCCACAACCTATGCTTTTCAACTTCTATATGTTTTACAGGTTGTTTTCCTAACAGGTTTTATTGTGAAGTATCACATCTAGATTAAGGTCACCTTCTGTGGACAGTTCCTCTTCTCATCATGTACATAGAAGCTGCTTTCATTTATTAAGCCTGATGCCAGTAATTTCGCCCTTAAATGTCATTCATTGGTTTCCATTCATGTTTTTTTAAGGATTTCATTACTGGCCAACTCAGGGGCCGAATAAGTAAACAACGAGCTCAAACATATGGAAAAACTGACCCTTGCTGCCAAGGAGTTAAGGTATTAAAGTGTATAAGCCATTTCCTGTAACAGTTGTCAAGCTAATTTTCAGTAAATTATTTAGTCTACATGTTTATTATTCAGATATAAACCGACTGACTCGGCATAAAAATGACATTACACTGCTCCAATTACAGACTAATCTTTTACAGATACAGCCACTACACCCCCGAACTGCAACCCTCTGACAAGTCTTCTCTGAGTTCAGAAACAGCAGCTTTTGAGCAAGTTAATTCACACTGATTGCATCACCCAGTGATGAGAGTAACATCAGCAGTGTTGCTGCACATCTCCAGGTACCTCCATAAAAATCAGAATATTTGTTAGCAAATTAATTAGTGTGAAAGAAAGCAGTTAAAACATAGAATGAAAATTCAATACAGGAGAAAATCACTATCGTCTTCTTTGCAAACTTTTTTCATACCAAAGATAATAAGCTTCTTGAGCTTTTGGTGACAAACTCCACTTCTCTCCACTCACTGCATGACAGCTAGTCTACTACATAAAGTATTTGGCATAAAGAATGTAGTAGTGCCTATAGAGAAAGTTTTCTCTATCTGATAAGTTCTAGGTTATGTTTAGATTTTAAGTGGATTTAGAAGGTGAAAGTGTTAAAAAGTGGAAATAATTTAGTGATCTTTGAAGGTCAACACCTGCTAGGAAATTTTAAATTCAAGCTGACTTTCCATTAGCCCCACATCTCACGTTGTGATTAAGTTGCAGATTGATCTCTTGTATCATAGCACTACGACAGTGCTCTTGAGGGAGCCTGAACTGAGTATACACTAATCTGAGATACCACTTCACCATCTCTGGTTTCTACCAATGAGAAAGCACATTCCTGGCTAGTTTTATAGCACAGCTGCCTGACACGACTATTTCTAGTTTTCTTGAGGAAAGCAAAATAAGCAGTGGAGAAATTAAAAGACATCACTCTGATTTGTTGCTGTTGTTTTTTACCACTAAAAAAGATACAACATTGATAATAACCAGGTAAAAAGTACATCATGAAGGTTTCATGTTTTATTGTTTTACAGAAATCTTGCTCGACTGATGCTATAACTGAAGAAGAAACAGCAAAACAACTCATATGACCACTAGCGCATATTTGCTGTCAACAGAAAGGCTCTCAGGGATTTCAACTAGTATTAGATTGCAGTCTTCATATTTACATTTAAAAATATTCCCCTCTGTGTTCTTACGCAAATTATTAGCCTACTCAGATTCAATAAACGGTAAGTGTAAGATGAAAAAATATGCATTAAGTATCTCACAGTGATTAAAGAAAGGCAATTTTGAGAGCTGTCACTCTGGCACTTCTCTGTGGCTGCTCATCGGGGGGCAGTTGCTCTCAGTGCCTGGTCATTTTGTATCTGACTGCTTGGTGTGTGAAGAACCAGATATCTAGTCCTCTGCTTTCAAATGATTGTGTAAGACAGAAAGATACAAAAAAAAAAAAGAAAGGATCTTTCAATATATTTCAGTATACAGTACTTTTATTTAAAAAAACAAACAAACAAAACCTTCAAAAAAAACAAACAAAACAAAACAAACTGTTGCTGATGTTTGAACTTTCATATATTCACCTGTTGCTCTCCCACTACCTTCTTGAATTTTCTGATTTGCAAGAGCAAGTTAGGGAACAGCAATAACTAATGATGAAGTACTTTATCTGGATAAAGCACCTTGTTCCAGTAAGTAGCATTTTCCTCTCTTTTTAGAATGTGTAGCCTTTAGTCCACAAATTAATCAAATAGCTGTAGTTTTCCAGTAATTCAGACTAGTCATAAAAGTATATTTCATTATTTTATAATCAGTGGTATAGGTTCTACCTAGTTGCCTTTCCATGAGATCAGACATTTCTGATACTTTTAAATGCCTACAGTGAGCTCAGAGAAGGCCATGTACATGGTCTAAAACAGAAAAAGCTAGATAAATGCATGAGCAATTGCACAACTATGTTGATCCACGTCTTTTGTGAAATGTAGAAAATAAATATTAGTCCCAGACTGCATGCAAAACCACATAGCAGATCCTTAGTGTAAACCATTATTCCTGTGGAGCTCTCTTGTGTTTAAAAGTCCTTGCCTTAAAATACAAAAAGTGTTCTAAATTAGGCAATTATTCCACATTTCATACATCCATCCATTTGTATGGTTTAGACTATGAGTATTGTACAATAACCTATATCCCCCAAAAGATCTCAAAGAGATTAATGAATGTGAGAAACTGAAACAATCTGTATTATGGTCACAATAAAACTCAGTGCAAAAAAACTTTATAATACTTAACTCCATGCAAGACAGATTTATTTTATCCTCTTTGCAGGTGTACTTCTTATTCTTTAAAAAGAATAAATATGCAGTATAAAGCAAAAAAGTAGTTTCAATTTCTTTAAAAAGTTAACAAGACTTGGGCAACTAGAACATGGATGTGCATCATAATGAATAATTAAAAATGGTTATCAGCTGACAAGGTTTTTATGAGTGATGTGAAGTTCAAAACTGCATGACTTAACTCTGTAGTTTTGAACTCTGAGATATAAAATACCCTTCAAGGGAACATAGCAAAGAACAAGAAAACCTTTCAGACCCCTCCCCAGAAGACTGAGACTTATGCGAGAGCTCAGAGATGGGAAGTTAGGAAAAAACACTGAAGAAAACACTGCTGCAAAGTACTGTCCTGCTGTGGAAAGTGACAATAAAAAAAATAAGTAAAAAATAAGAAACAGCATATTCTTTGCCATTAAGCATTCATAGGTGTCATCAGGAGCAGCTTCACTTTGGGAACACGAAGAAACTGTGAGACTTGAGAGCAGCCGTGTCTGTCAAACAGTTCAGCATGCACCACATAACATCGTGCACACCATACCTGCTCTACCTGCTTGAACATCCTGACAGCAAAGCTTTGAATCTGTCTCCTCCTGTGTTTTTCATGAAACGGCTTTAGGCACATACTGGGGAGCAATAAAGTGCAGTCTTTAAGTAGTTCTATGTACAGGGACTGCTACTATTCCTGATTTAATCTGAGCTTCAAGAGATGAAGGGGAAGTCTTGTTTTAGTGACCCTTTCATGTAAAGAGCAGGAATAAGTTTTTAATGATTGCTACCTTGCTCAATTCAGGGAATTTCTGCCTTTATTTGCATTCTCTAAAACTTCACTAATATTCATACAAATGCACAAAATGAATATGAGGGCCTAATGCTTGCTTAGTTACTACAAGCTAATGTGGACTCCAGTTTGGGAACTCCATAAGCAAGCAGCAAAAACGCACTTTGTTCCAAATCTTGTAATTCGCACATGTGGAACAGAGAGAAGAAACTAATCTTTGATCTAAATTTAATTAAGCGCTTTTCTAATTGACATGCGAGCTTCTTTCCTAACAGTTCATTCACTAGCTAAGAAATGACAGGTTTTTTCCAGTTGTTATCAACATTCACAGCACTGCTAACATGGCTCTGTACAGGAAAACATTCATTTCGGTGACCAAAGCTGAGAGATAAGAGTGCAAATGTACATTGGCATCAGATTTGTTAAGGAAGCATTTTATCAGTTTTCAATGTAAAGACACATTCTAAGCTTTAAATTGACATAGAAGAGCCAGTTTCACAGAATTACAGAGCTTTCCAGAAATGTTAAAATGTTTGCAGTGAAAACCTCTCTCAACTCCTTTCACTGAAAGCCGTAACTCATTCTGTGCTTACTTCCATAGGGATTTACATGACTACATCAAGGAAAACTTGCTGTGAATAGTAATGGTTGTAAAAGAGGTTTCCAGTCTACAGCCTTGTTTGTGCTGGAATGATGGTGACTCTCCATAGCTCAGTGCAAATTTTGGAAGAAAAGGGGGGAGTTATGGAAGTGAAAACCAAAATATTTTTATATTTTGTAGGGATACTGACGAACAGTTTTTTATCATTCCGTCAGCATTCGTAGGATAAAATTTTATGTGTGCATACCTTGAGGCCTATCTCTCTACTTTGGAGAAAGAGGTTTTACTTTCTTCAAGTTGAATGAAAGCATAGACCTTTTCTTCAGACACTGCTATAAAGAACATGACAGTTCAGCATGGCAGTGTTAAAAGATACTGTCTTCACAGATAAAAAAATCAGTAACAAGTTATCTCAATGTTTTTAGTTGGAACTAGAATTCTATTTACTACATGGAATTAGCAGAATCTTCAGAAGCATCCTCTGACAGCTAAATATTACTGTCGCATGAAAAGAGGTGTTTCAAGCTCTGGACCCATATCACCTACACTGCTCTCCTAGTCCTCCCCATGGGTTAGCTGATCTCCACTATCACACTGGAAATCTGAATTTATTGGAAAGAGAATTAGAACCCAGAATTAAGCCCCTCAAACCTATAATTTGCCCAAAATGTAATTGATTAATTAATTGGAAGTCTTAAAAAACTTACCTTTAAAATTTGGTCTGATTCTAGCATCATACCCCGATGTCCTTCCCATCAATTTGTCCAAAAAATCTGAAGGAGACAGGGTCTGTGAGGGGGATTTTCCAGATCTTGAATCATGTTCTTTACAGAAAGTTGTCCTAAATAAATTATTAGCCATGATTAGCTAATATTTAACTTGCATTCAAGTTATGGAGAAATTATAACAGCAAATAAATTGTCTCAATCCAGTGAATGTCGCATTATTTTTATAGAACAATATAGTCTATTTTTAATCTGAAAACTTTATTCTATGAGTTTAAGGTAATATGCATGGGCAGTTTGTTATTCAGAAACAAACAAGCAAGTAAACAACACAGCTTTAAAAAGAAATTCATTACAGCTTTAAGACTTTAGAAGTTTCAATTTACTTTTTATCCTTATGTCTAGAGCAATCTTACAGGGGCTTTGAAATCTTATTTCATATCATTGCTTTTCTTGCATGTACACTGTTAAAAGTATATGTTAACCCTGGGTTTGAGGTAGTCTTAAACTTGCAAACAATAGCTGGTAACACACACCAAGCAACACTGAAAAACACTGATTTTGTTAATGTTGAGAAGGAGATAGTTGCAAAAAAAAAAACCTTTTTTACAAATGATACCCAACAAATGTTTGACTTATGCTGGTGAATGTCTGGAGTCTTCCCCGACACAGCAAAAAGGGTTCCAGAGCCAGCCACATCTGATCTTTGGGAATTTTTACCAGTAAACATTAAGTAAAAAAAAACAACAAACTATTAGTATTATTACCAGCTGATATTTATATGAAGGCTCTTGAAATACGTCTCTGCTGTCAGAATTTAAGAGCAAACTTCTGGTACCATATCATGCATGTTAAATGCTTTGTACATAGCATCTTACATATTGCAAATACATTATTTATTCAGGGAAAGAGAATTTAGGATTTCCCATGTCTGTTCCCTAAGGAAAAAGAAACTAGAATGAAATGGTCATATTTGGTGTTTAGAGGCACAGATTTAATCATAAAGCATTACCTGATTCTTGAATAACCAATTTCATTGTATCTATGCTTCAACATAATTTTTGAGCTATATTCAAAGTAATTCTATGACTGTGTCTTCTTATATATTTGCCCAAAGCGAGCCATTCAGTTTCAGGAGTCTTTCTGGGGGGGTGTGTGTGTGGGGGGGTGTTCATGCATCTATACACAAGTCTAAAAAAATTTTATATATATACAAGCATCTGAAATGAGAAGCAAATAGCAAACCTTTATCCCTTTGCAGAAGCACTGGAACTTTTAAAAGGCAAGGTGATAGTAAATTCTCATAGTGTGATTCCCCACGTTTTTTCAGGTTCCATTTACAGGGGGCAATTGCTCCTTTTTGCTTTCGCCAATGTCATATATTATTATAAAATATCTTTACTTGCTAATGCATAATATTGTCCACTTATTTCCTAAACCCATTCACCTAAGATAAAAACTGCAAATTAATCCAGTGCACGTATTTGGGGTGTTCCTATACAAATTACTTGTGTTTTCATTCAAAGCTCACTAGTTATGACTTGAATTGGGATCCCAGATTCATGGGTATGAACACTATTTCACTCTGTCATTGTGTGTATGTACCTCATCAGTCATATAAACCCACTTTGTATGTGCACATGTAGATATACAACAGCGTACTGCATAATAATGAATCTCAGCTGAAATGGTGCTTTGGTTAGTAGGATGACCTGTTTGCTCTGTACAGCAAGAAGTCAATAGCTGAAGCAAAAGCTCATGAAATGTTGAGAAAATTTCAAAACAATTGTGTGTGCTGGCACTTTAAGTGAACACAATACTGGTCTGATTCAGGGTTTTCCCAAAATCAGAGGGCTGATTCTGTAATTTCCAAATTACAAAGCAACTTCCTAAACAACCTTCAGTGGGAACAGAGAATTTGCGTTTCGGAATTAAAACCGAAGAAAATGTTTTCAGCTATATTAATACTCAGTGAAAAAACATGTCTTTGAATCAGAGAAATACAAAAAACTTGAGATTATTATTTTTTGTGTTTGTTACTAAGCAACGAGACTCCGAGTGTAAAAAGGATAGCCTATACAGAATTAGCATGAAATACTCTCAAATACAGCAAACAAACTAGGTAATATAACATAGTATCTTTATAGTTATGATTTCCACAACCTTTTCACAAATATCATCACACAGAGTTGTATCACCTACCTGAAGTTGTTTGTCTCTAAGAAAAATGCAAACAAGGTTGTCAGAATTTTCACTAGCTGCCGGTTCATTCCTCCTGCTTTCTGTGATGATTTGGAAAATATCCCAGAAACGATTCCAGAGAGATGCGGGGGAAAAGTAAGCTGGTGCTGCTTAGATTCCCAAATTCAGCAATAATTTAATTTTCTTGACAATCAGGAGGAGAAGATCTGGATATCTACAAACTGGGGGTAAAAAAGAAGTGCCAGTCCTTGGGCTCATGGTCAAGTCAAGCCTAGGCTCATCTCCAGCAGCCAGCATGAAACAGACAAAGCACCAGACCTGGTTGTTCCCCCACCTAGTTTTTGGTGATGTCAGGGGGGAAACGAAATTTGAAAAAAAAAAAAGGAAATAAAAACAAAAAAAAAGAAAGAAGAAGAAAGAAAGAGGAAAGGAAAGGAAGAGGAAACCCCGCTATACAAGGAGCATCAGGAAAAGGGAAATAGTGCTGAGAGCCGTTCTGTTGCTGGTACGTTTGATTCCCCTTTCTCTTTGAAAATTAGTATTTATAACTGGTGCCTGAGCTACTGTGTCGGTCTGGATTTCCCCTCTTTGGGCAGGGAAGCGTCGGCGCTGCCGGAGGGGGGCAGGGAGGGAGGGAGGGAGGAAGGGACAGAAGGAAGGATGAAGGGAGGGAGGGATGGACCGGGCGGGGGCCGCGGGGAACCCCGGAGCCTGTGCTGGAATGAGGCGGGAGGGAGCGCACCGCGCGAGAAATTCAGTACTCGGACAGCTCCGAGCCCTCCACTGCGCATGCGCCTGGTCTGTGTGAGCTGGGGGGGCAGCGAGTGGAGGGTGGTGAGTGCGCGTGTCTGTGCCTGCGTGTGCGCGCCCGGGGGACGCCTGGTGTGTGCGGGTGTGTGCGGGTGTGTGCGGGCAGGGGGTTGTGTGTGATGGGGTGTCTCCGGGTGTGCTGGAACGTGTGTGGGGGGGTAACTGCGCGGTGTTGTTCGTGAGTCGGGGGGGGGGAAGTGAGGGGCTTTCCGTGTGCGCCGTCCCTCTGTCCGCGGGATCGCTCAGGGAGCCATGTCGCGCCCCTTAGGGAAGTGCCTCCTTCTTCCAGGTGTCTGTGGTGAGTGGGAAAGGAGACAGGAAGACCTCTGCTTCCTTGGAGAGAGGAGGCAGGAAGGAGCTCCCGCAGGGAAGGAGTCCCTGCGACAGGAGCTGGCTCCTCTCTTGGGAGCTGCTCCGAAAAGACCCGAGTGGGTGTGAGGAGGAGGAGTGTGAGGAGTCTGTGGGGAGTTTGTGGAGATACCAAAGAGGCAAGATTGTGTAGTTTCTATTTCCAATTGTTTTTTATTTCTCTTCCCCATGGTTTAGAAAAGAAGATAATGGCAGACATCTTACAAGGGGATGTTTCAGTCTCCATACCCCAACACGTTGGAAGGAGACACTTCTCTTTGTGGACACAGGGAGTTGGAACGGGAATGTAATTACACAAGACCCCACAGATGGGCAGTGACGGGAGTAGGGATGAGGCCCAGCTTTGCCGTTCTCCAAAGTCTCAGTCCCATGGCCTTCCCTCAGTGCTTCCCTATTGCTCAGTTACAGGTTCTCCTGTTAAACCCAAGATGTCACTGAGGAGTCACGTTGTTAAAGAGGAGGAAGATAATAACTTGCCCCTCTGAAGCACATATGATGACCAAAGAAACTGCTGAACACACTACAACCCTTAAAGCATTTTGTTCACATAGGTTTAAATGGGCAGCTGACAATTCCTATCTCATGATGTTCAGGGAATATAAAATGGTTTTTCCTCTGCTTCCACCATGGCTTTCCCTCCCTCCCACTACTGTTTACCCTCTGGTTCTGTGCACTCTGCAACGCCCTGAAAAGAAGCAGGATGCTTCCTTACCAGTTCAGTTGCTTCCCACTGGAAAATCCTAAATTTTGTGTAAATCATAATTAAATCTGTTTTAACAATCTGGAAACCAATGCCTGCGAAGAAGTTGTCTTTTTTTACTCATCCTGCACTCCCAAAATAAACAAGTTACTGTTTTTCCTTCAGTTTTAGGTCCAGCTGTATTCTCCCGTCTGGGTATGTGACCACCTGAACACTGCTTCACTTCCACAAAAGTATTTGCGCACACACATTTCTTCAATCTCCCAAGTAAAAGAATCTGCTTCTCCATGACAGATACTTTTACTATGTTTGTAGTCATCTTCAAAAATTGCTTCTGAAAAGGAGATGTTCTACTACTGCATTAGCAAGAGATCAAAGCCACTTGCTGTTCATTAAATGAAAGTCAGTTGCTGCATTTTGTTTGTTTACTTTAATAGTGTAGGACCTATCTGAAAAAGAAAATCTACTTGCTATTCATAGGTGCAAGTGCTAAATATTAAAACATCTTATGCACAAAAGATTGAAATAACTGGAAAAATCAGTCCAAACATAAAAATGTAAGTTAAATCTGTTGTCTTTCCTGCTGAGTCAATAGTATAAATGAAGGTCCAGCAGAGGAAAGTCCACAGAATTTGTTTTTATTAAAATTGACAGTGTTTAACAGTAAACGTTGAGTGTTGGTGCTGAATCACTGCACTGTAATATCCTCTAACCTCTTCAGAAGATAGGTCCTCCTACTGACATATTAAAGAGAGGTTGTTACGTCTCTTACTGCATTGTCTCACTCTGAGAAATAAAGCTCATAAAGCTGCATCTGAAAATAATGGAGTGGTTTTGAATCAACAAAGTTAAACCTTTCAGAATTTGTGCCTGTTCCCATCTAGAAAGGAGCCAAATAAAACTGCTATATACTGTTACCTTGGGTTAAAATAAATGGAGAAATTGGAAAGCAACAATTTCTATCAGCTGCAGGAAAAATCTATGTCTCTCTAACCTACACTGCCACCTGCTTAAAAGTGTGGGGAATCTCAGGACTGCTCACAGAGTTCCTAATGCAGAGTTCCTAGTGCAGAAGTCACTGAATACTGCAGGTGTCTTTCCAATGAGGATGTTAACATGGACTTTGTGACATGACATGCTTTTAAAAGACCCGTAAATGTTCATTGTCTTTTTTTTTTTTGTTGGAGAAAGTAACTGAACATTTCTGTTAACTATCTAACTAAAGAAAACTTACTTGGAAGTCTGCTTTCCAAGATTTAGCTGCTAGCAGCCATTTTCTGTGCTTCACAGATATTTGAAATGTTAAATAGTATATCCCTAAGCTGAATGAAAGTTGCAGGAAGTTCTTCAAAATAACCTGCCCTTAATTGGGGTTGGGGTTGTAAAAATATGGTGACAGATGTAATAACGAAAATTTTGAGTATCTACTCTACCATTCCTTACACCTCCAAATGCCTGGAGGCTTCAGTGACATGTTGCTCCACATGGTGGTTACATGGAAGTGCCAAATAAAACTTCATTATTAAGGGCTGAAAATAGCGCTTTACTGATACTAACTTAAGTAACAGCAACAGTCACTCAAATAGCTCTCTTCTTGAAATTCTGAGGGCTCAAAGCAACTATTTCCTCTAATCAGAGGGGTTTAGGTCAAACTCCCATCTGTATCTGGAAGAGGGGGAGGGGAGGGCCAGACTTTAGTGCATCCTTCACCACTTTTCCATGCATTAACACATGCATGAGAAAGTTCTTGATGTCAGTCATTTTTGCAACAGTTCTTCCTCATCCTAATTCTATTAAAAAAGAAAAAAAAGAATAGTTTTTTTGAATACTGTATCTAAGTTGTCGTTCATCCACAACTTGAGTGTCTATTAAATGCACACTCGATGGTGAGGCATGATTCACAGTTCTGCAGACAAGGGGACCATTTGGAAGCACTTTGTGGGAATGTACACTGCACTTCTCAGAGTCCCCTTCTTCTGAAGGAGCCAGAGCTATGAGTACAACTGCTGATGTGCAGCAGTTTCTGGATGAGCTGTGTACATCGAGTTGCATGGATGTGATTCTTTCCAGTGTCACTCATTGTTATCTCCCACAGCACATTTCTAACTGCAGAAGTGTGGCAAATGAATGGGAGTCAACGGGTAGGACGGGGAAGCTTGTAGTAAAATGGTACTGGGATGTGGAGGAAGATAAGAGGGAAATGCTGCTTCTCTGGTGAAGAGACTGAATAACACATCCCTTTGGTTCCCCAGGCATATAGCAAAGCTTGATAATCATGCTAAATGTGGTATATTATTTCAAGTAAGAATTTAGTCATTACTCTATTCCACCTGAGTTTATTAAGCACTAACTACTGGGCAGAAAATAGGACAGAATCACCGTTTCCATGTAAGTGGTTTTATGACAGTTGATGGCACATAATTTACGTTTGTTTGCATTGTGTATGCTTTTTTGGAACTCTACGAAATGGAAGAAATAAGATCATACCGCTTTCTCAAATGATGATAAATAAGTGATCCAGAAGCATGCTTCTAAGGAAGCAAAATACATCACTTCAAATATGCAATTAGTGTCTATAAGAAGAGAAAATTCAATATAACTTTCAAAATGGTATGTCAGATTATCATAATTGTTGGATGTTTGTTAACAATGCCAAGTGTATTCCAATAAACTGCCAAATATAAATTAATAAAGAGTACAGTCTATGTAAAACATCCAATTATAGTGAAGGTAAAAAAGCCAAAACAAAAACTTGAAGGTAATCTAACATGACTGCATGATGAGCTAAGGATAAGAAACCAACTGGCCTGGTTTTTAAACTGTACCATAACAAATTATGTAAAGGATCAAAACCTGTAAATTAATTCTGTTTAACTCTGAGAACTGTGTTAATAAGAAGTCTCTTTCAGTGAATAACAATGATAGCCTTAGTTATGTTAGGACAAGGCAATAGGTAGCTTTTCAGTATGAAAACGAATTATGTTTACGTAATTTATAAACATATACATATATATATGTAACATTTTTATATCTGACATTAACAGATATAACGAAGCATTAGTCAGTACAGCTTTATTCTGTTTATATTCAAAATATTTTCACATCCTTCCTTCTTTTTATATATTACTTGCCTAAGTATCTCAAAACTTCAACAAAAATATATAGAAGTCCTTATTCTTTATCACATAGTTTTTGCTTTTAAATAATAATAAGCACAGCTGGAGGGAGGACATAATTTCTCTTGAATGGAATTACGTATTGTAAATATAATTTTGTACTCAGTTTACTTCTTACATCTGAATTTTACTTTCTGAACATTTGAATGTATATTATATATTTGTCCTGGGTTCAGCAGTAGCAGTCATGTTTTTCCTTTGTGTTAACTGGTGCAGTGCTGTGTTTTGACTTCTAGCTTGAGAACAGCGTTGGTGAAGCCGATGTTTTCGGTTGTTGCTAAGTGATGTTTACCCTGAC